CCCCTATCTTCAAGGACTTTTAACACCTGGTCGTAACAGCCTGTAAAAATGGGAGGCATGCCCCCATCAATTTAGTCACTCGGGGGGAGGACCAAACTTCCCTGTAAATCCTAGTTCATGCAATTAACTAGTAAAAAGACTACTGCTACCACCACTGAAGCCATTACACCTCTCCATCCACCCAGCCATAGACCCATCTAGGGGATAAAGAGTGTATGAGGCAGATTATCATCAAGCATTATGAACTAGTGGTCTGGTAGAGAGCAAAATATTACTAGCATACACTTAGAGCTTTACTGTGGTGCCAGGCATTTTCCTAAGGGTTTTACAAATATTAATTCATTTATGTATCGCAACCACCTCAGGGTGTAAGAAACTAAGATACAGAGAAATAAGTAAATAATTTGCCTGTGGTCACACAGCTAGTAAGTGATAAAGCCTGGATTCAAACCCAGGCAATCTAGCTTGGCTCCAAAGTCACTTGCTAACCTGCTTGTTAATGGGAATTTTGACATAGAATTATATCAGGTAACTCAAAATTTTCAATTGCTCCTTTGTCCCACAGAGCCATGGTGAAAAGTATAGAGAGGGGTACTTGCCCTCTGTCTGCCTAAAAGAGCCAGGCTCAGCAAAACATGCCCTTAAGCCCCAGAATAATTTGAGATGAGATGAGAGAGTTGCCAAGACTTGTGAAACCAAAACAAAGGGGTGAAAGAGACAACAAATAGCACATGAATGAAAGCCTTATATTTCAAGTTGGAAATGGCTGGCTTAAAAACTTGTATTTTTTAGACTTATGGGAAAATCTGCCCTGACAGCAAGGTTTCTTTGGCAGTAGAAGGTGATATAAGCAGGGTTTTAAGTTTAACCAACTGGGTTTGTTCAAAGCAACTGCTTTTGAGAACTTTAATTTTCTATTTGTCTGTGTTTGTTAAAGAGTGTAATTTAATTCCATATTTAGTATTTCCTCTACTTTCTAGGGGCCCTAGATCTTGTGCAAGATGGTTGGTTACTTGCTCAAGGTCACATGGCTGGTAAGTGACAGAATTGAGATTTTAAGCTGACTCCCAAACTTTGGTGCTTTTTGGTTTGCCGAATAGAGTTAACTCTATTTACAGTTCTGGTGATCTTGTTCCTTCTATCTTTCCACAACTTGGGAACAGTTACCTACTTGACATAGGCCCTGTGCTCTGGTCATATTAAAGGAGATGACTGCTCAGACTCACCTCTGATTTCTCACTCACCATAGTTAGGACTAGAAAAAAAAGGTGATTTCAAGCCCATTGCTTAATGACCTTGAATATCTCCAGCAATTTTTCTCAGCCCTTCCCTAGCTACCTTCCGCCTACCCAGCTGAGCTGGGCAATTTTATTTCTGTCAGCATTAACCTTGCGGTTTTTATCTCTCCGCAGCTTCCTCTTCAACCAGTGCTGCTGGTTCTCAATGCCAGCTGTCATCACTGTTTTACTTCCTCTCCACCCTTTGTGGAACCTAGCCTTCTCAAGACTTCTTTCTTTCTTTCTTTCTTTTTTTTTTTTTTTTTAGTATTTTCCCCAAATCCCAAAGCCAAGCCAAAATTCTTTTTTTTAACTTAATTTTATTTTGAAAAATTTTTATTTTTTAAGTAATCTCTATACCCAAGCCAGGAGGAAAGGAGATAAGTTTATTGAACAGTGTAAGTGATGGAGTATAGCAGACAGTGTCTGAAAGACTTGGAAAAGTGAGTCTCCCTGTTGCTTGGGGTTAGGGGTTTATATTGGAAAGGGGTCCAGGGTACGTGTTCCTTCAGGAAGGCAAGGTAGGGTCAGATCAAAGGTAAGTGTCAGGTGAACAATAGGTGTTACCCTATAAATCACCAAAGGTGGGGATTACTGATGACAGTGTTGATGGAGGTTTGTTCGCTGGAAGCTAATGTCCTGGAACATGTTTGGGATCCAGTTCTTTTTGGATGTTACCTGATCCAGGTGTTTGAGGGCCTAGGATGAACTTAGAGAATGATTAACTTTCTTGTCTTCCCTTCGAGTGGGAACATAGCTTCTTTGTTCTTTGAACAGAGCTGGAAGTGGGGCATGAATTCACAAATCTAAGTTTTGTGACCTGAGCCACCCAGGCATTCCTAAACTTAAAAAAAATAATAAAATAAAATAGAATCCCTTCAGTTTCCGTGCGTCAATCCTTTCACATGTTTACCTTTACTTCCCCATATATGAACTGTTCCTAGGCTCAACAAAGCAACAAAGCTCAACAAAGCTAAGGTAGCTTTCTTTGGGAACAACCCCTGCCTTCTTTTTGGGCTGCCCTTCTGATAGTAAAGCTTTGTTTCAAAACTCGTGTCTCAGATACTGGCTTACTGTGCATCAGGTACATGGACAAGTTTCCCTCTGGTAACATCTCCTTCCCTGTGCACACACAACAGAAAGACCACGTGAGGACACAGCAAGAACATGGCTGTCTAGAAGCCAGGAAGAGAGGTCTTACCAGAAACCAATTGTGCTGGCACCTCCATCTTGGACTTCCAGCCTCCAGAAGTGTGAGAAACTAAACTTCTGTTATATTTAAGCCACCGTCTGTGGTATTTTGTTACGGCAGTCCTAGCAGACTAATACATATGACCAACATGTTTGTACTATGTCCACTCCTGAGTTGATGGCCTAAGGTTGGACATTTTGACTTTGTGGTTGCCAATCTTTGGGTCCCAGGCTTCTTGGTTATTATGCAAAATAAAGTCACATGGGGGCGCCTGGATGGCTCAGTCGGTGAAGCATCTGACTTTGGCTCAGGTCATGATCTTACAGTTTGTGGGTTTGAGCCCTGTGTCGGGCTCTGTGCTGACAGCTCAGAGCCTGGAGCCTGCTTCAGATTCTGTGTCTCCCTCTCTCTCTGCTCCTCCCCAACTAGCGCTCTGTCTCTCTCTCAAAAATAAAGATAAAAAAAAAATAAATAAAGTCACATGTATTTGTCTATTTCTCTACTCTTAAGGGTGCTGTCATTAGTAACAAAACACATAATGATTCAAGTATTAAGGAAGGCTTTGTTCATTTTTTTTTACATTCCTTCCCCAAGTTAAATATCTTGTTTACATTGTGATCCTTCTCACTTAAAAACTCGACCCTTGGGGTGCCTGGGTGGCTCACTCAGTTAAGGGTCCAACTCTTTGATTTCAGCTCAGGTTGTGATCTCACATTTCATGAGATCCAGCCCCATGTTGGGCTCTTCTCTAGGCATTTGTATTCTTGGGACTTGTTCTGGAGGGTGGGTGTCTCTATTATCAACAAGGATAAGGGTTTCAGGATTTCTATAAAGGTGGGACTTAAAGCCTGTAACTTGGGTGAGATTGGAGTTACACATGCATAACAAGCATACTGAACTTACCTATATTGTGAGTTAAAGTGGACCAATAACCATAGTGTTTAAGATGCTCTTATTCACTTTTTACAGGACTGAGAAAAGCCTCTATCCCTAGGAAAGAGAAGTACCACATACATTTGAAGTGGTTGCCAGAGAGGCGCCTGGCTGGCTCAGTCGGTGGAGAATTCCACTCTTGATCTCAGGGTGGTGACTTCCAGCCCCACCTTGGGCATGGGCATACAGCTTACTTTATTATATTTTTTATTAAAAAATTGTTTTGTTTTTACATTTATTTATTTTTGAGAGACAGAGTATGATTGGGGAGGGGCAGAGAGAAAGGGAGACAGAATCTGAAGCAGCCTCCAGGCTCTGAGCTGCCAGCACAGAGCCCGATGCGGGGCTCGAACCCACAAACTGTGAGATCATGACCTGAGCTGAAGTCAGACACTTTAAGCGACTGAGCCACCCAGGCACCCCCATACAGCTTACTTTAATAATAATAATTAAAAAAAAAAAGTGAAGCAGCTGCAGGAAAGTGAACTTTCCCTTACCCAGTCCTCTCTGAGTATTGCGGGGGGGGGACTGGCACCAGATTCTGAGGAGGACAGCAGTGTTCCTTGGTGAAAAGACCCTTTTCCTTGGGAAAGTAGCTAAGGGGGCACTGAATCTTCAGGGTGTTGGTGGAAGCTGGTGCTAAGGCTTCCAAAGTGGGAAGTTTAGGGAAGACACAGTAAAGGTGAAGCATTTGGGGTTTGCAGGAGGCACTGGGAGACAGGGTTTAGAAGAAAATTGAGTGAAGGGAGAAGATTGTCATTGGAGGTCATTACCACAACCGCCCCTGCCCAACACTTTTGTTATCTGGGAATCTTTCAACAGGCAGAGTTCCTTCTGTGGGAACTGGGAGTGTGAGGATGTGCTCTCAAATGTAAACAGACAGTTTTCCAGAGCAAAGGAAGAAATGAAACTTAAGAGTACAGACTTCCCAGAATACAGGGGATCCTTACGTGAATCTGAGTCACTCAAGACTAATACTGAAAGACATTGTATATCATACAGATTAAAAATTAGGCTGCAATCGAAAGACAGATGAATGGATAAAGAAAATGTATATACTTGTAGTGGAATACTACTGAACCTTAAAAGAAGGAAATTCTGACATGCTACAACGTGAATGAACCTTGAGGACATTATGTTCATGTCACAAAAAGACAAATACTTTATGATGTGGGAAACAAAGGCAAAAGAAAAAATTAAATTTCCTTACTACCTACAGCCCATTGACAAGTCCTTCAAACAGGCGGAATGAACTCCTCTGAGAGCTCAGCTCCCTCAGTGTTGACACTTTGCTAAGGGCAAAAGGCAATCTTATCTCAACATTATCCTGACCCTCCAGGATCCTGTGAGTCTAGTTTAAACATATAAAAATTCTGGGGCGTCTGGGCGGCTCAGTCGATTAAGCGTCCAACTCAGGTTTCAGCTCAGGTTATGCATGTTCTCCTGGGTTCATGAATCCGAGCCCTGCGTTGGGCTCTGTGCTGACAGTGTGGAGCCTACTTGGGATTCTTTCTCTCTCCCTCTTTCTCTGCCCTTCCCCCACTCGCACTGTCTCTCTCAAAATAAATAAACTTAAAAAAATAATAAACATATAAAAATTTCCTTGGAAACTTCCTTTATCTCTAACCCCTCAAACATAGGTTAGCAGTCATCCTCCAAGCATATGGCTCACTGATATACATCTGAAGGGTCTCATGACTGAGGATTTACTACACAGTAATTTTTCATTGACCTTTTCCTAACAATAGCTAGCCTCCTCAGGGTCCTGGAAACCTTGTTTCCCAAATTCCTTGGAGGCTTGTGCTTTCCCTAACCCTCTCCCAACTTGAAAATATATAATCAGTCACCCATCACAACCCCAGTGCAGCTCTTTCTGTCAACGAGTCTGGACCCGTGTTTTAATAAAACCACCTTTTTATTTTTAGAAAGAGAAAGTGAGATTGTGAGCAGGGGAGAGGGGCAGAGGGAGGGACAGAGAATCTTAAGCAGGCTCTACACTCAGCAAGGAGCCTGGCGAGGGGCTTGATCCCATGACCTTGATATCATGACCTGAGCTGAAATCAAGAGTTGGGTGCTCAACTGACTGAGCTACCCAGGCACCCCAATAAAACCACCTTTTTGCACTGAAGACATCTCAAGAATTCTTTCTTGACCATTTGCTCCGAATGCCAACATTTCCACATCAATTCCACTTATATGTAATGTGGTATCTGGAGTAGTCTAACTAATAGAAATTAGAATGGTGGTTTCCAAGAACCAGGGAGAGGAGAAAAGGAAAGTTGTTTAATGGGTATAGTTTCGGTTTTGCAAGATGAAAAATTCTGAAGATTGATTGCACAACAATAGGAATGTCCCTTTTTTTTTTTTTTTTTTTTTTTTTTTTTTTTTTTTTTAAAGTAAGCTCTATTTCCAACATGGGGCTTAACTCACAACCCAGAGATCAAGAGTCACATGCTCTACCAACTTAGCCAGCCAGCCACTGCCTTTAATTTCCAATTTTGTACAAAAGTTTTATTATAGGATTTTACGAGAATTGAGCCTGGCACATAGAAAATGCTCCATACATATGAGTTATCATTATTATAAAAAGCATCCCTAAGCCTCCTTCTTCATTAATTCAACAAATGTCAATATCATACTTTCTTTAATGCATCATTCCACACTTTGGGGAAACCACAGGGAAAAAGTACTACCTACATGGAGCTTATACACACTTGAAGTTTATATATTCAACTATATGCACTTACTAAATTACTAGTGGTAGATTCAGATAACACGAGTAGATCATAAGTTCTGGGGAAAAAAAAAAAAGAAACCAAAAGTACAGGAAAGGCTGGTTGGTC